CCATTCCGGAAAAAAACGATTGGGGGTGGTGAGGTTTAGACATAGGGAAAAAATTCCAACATCTCTTTTCAAAGCTATGACACAGGTGCACTCTCTGCCCGAGGGTGGTGGTGGTGAACGGTGCTGCATCCAGTTGGCAGCCGGTCACTAGTGGTGTCCCCCAGGGATCAGTGCTGGGCCTAGTTCTGTTTAGTATCTTTATCCATGATTTAGATGGGGAGATTGAGTGTACCATTAGCAAATTTGCAGATGACACCAAGCTGGGGGGGAGTGTTGATCTGCTGGAAGGCAGGAGGGCTCTGCAGAGGGACCTGGACAAGCTGGAGAGATGCTCTGATTCCAACAGGATAAGGTTCAACAAGGCCAAGTGCCACTTTGGCCACAAAAACCCCAAGCAGCGCTACAGGCTGGGGAACAGAGTGTCTGGAGAGCAGCCAGGCAGAGAGGGAGCTGAGAGTTTGGATTGACAGGAAGCTGAACATGAGCCAGCAGTGTGCCCAGGTGGCCAAGAAGGCCAATGGATCCTGGTCTGGATCAGGAACAGTGTGGCCAGCAGGACCAGGGAAGTGATTCTTCCCCTGTACTCAGCACTGGTGAGGCCACATCTTGAGTACTGTGTCCAGTTCTGGGCCCCTCAGCTCAGGAAGGATATTGAGGTGCTGGAGCAGGTCCTGAGAAGAGCAACAAGGCTGGTGAAGGGGCTGGAGCACAAGTCCCATGAGGAGAGGCTGAAGGAGCTGGGGTTGTTCAGCCTGGAGAAGAGGAGGCTCAGGGGAGACCTCATCACTCTCTACAAGGACCTGAAAGGAGGTTGTAGCCAGATGGGGGTTGATCTCTTCTCCCAGTCAACCAGCAGTAGGACAAGAGGGCACAATCTTAAGCTCTGCCAGGGGAAGTTTAGGTTGGAAGAAATTTTTTACCGAGAGAGTAATCAGGCATTGGAATGGGCTGCCCAGGGAGGTGGTGGATTCACTGTCTCTGGAGGTTTTTAAGATGAGACTGGATGTGGCACTTAGTGCCATGGTCTACTAACCACAGCGGTAGTGGATAAGGGTTGGACTTGATGATCTCAAAGGTCTTTTCCTTCCAACCTGGTTGATTCTATTCTATTCTATGATTCTGTGATTTAAAGAAGGAGTAAAACTCCCCATACCAGTTCCTTTTTTAGTGAGTGAGGTTCCGTTGTCCAAGTTCTGAGAGGACCAGAATGTTGCATCTGAGCTATGTTCTATGATCTTGTGGAAATGGGAGAAGGATAGACTTAAGGGAGGTACACTCAGAAGATCTATTGGAGCTCAGGCAGACTTGTCTACTGAGAATGTTTTGGTGCTCTGATCTAGTCTGCTACCCCCTATTATGCTTCTTCAGGATCATGGGGGAATAATATTTTTTCTCCCTTTAGAGTGGCAGTAAAACATGGGCTATGATGCAGCCACTGGACTGGTTGTTGGCTTTTTTCCTAGGAATCCCTTTTTTAACCTGGCTAGGGACCTGGGTTTTGCTAAAATGAAAATTCTCTACTAATTTGATTTCTTGCTCCATTAACTAGGGCGATGATCCCTTAGCAAGAAGGGAATAAAAAGTATTACCACTTCTGCTTCTGCCTGCCTTTGCAAGTTCTGGGCAGCCACAGCAGTTCAAACAGGTCAGTATTAAGTAATCAGGCCACCTGGGCAAGACATATGCGAAGCACTCTGCTTTACTGATGTCTTCAAATATAAACCTGGCAATTCTTCCACAACAACACTGATCATTTTGCTCATCTTTCAGCTAGGTTCTCTTTTTCCTCTATGTTGCAACACTACTGCTGGGGACTTGTTTGTTTGTTTTCCATCCTCTATTCCCCCCCCCCCCCCCATCTCCCATCACAGATCCTGTCCTATAATTTCTCATATTGGCTTAGTACCCCTCACTGCTTTGCTCAGTTACTTTTTCTCTTGCACATCCTCATCTCTTTGCTGAAAATCCCACAGCAGGGTTTCACAACACATCAGTGCTCTTCTGCCTTGGACCTTGCATCTTCCTGTCTAGACTACCTGCATCTCCAGTTCACAGCCTTGAACAGCTTTTTCTAATCTCCTCATGTCATCTCCATGTCCTGCTTTTATTCTTCTCAAGAACCACGCTATTTCTTCCAAGGGATAATTGAAAGAATATGTTACTGACTCCCACTCCATTTTCTTTTCTTTTCCTTTCTTACATACAACGGTCTTTTCTGCCTCTCTTAACTGCACCCACATTTGTCCCACTAACCTCTCATCAGAGCAGCCTTGCACTTGTCCTTTTATTCTTTTCCATAGCTAATCCAGCTCCTCACTTCAAAATGTACTTTAGTCTCTCTGATTTTAAGAAACTTTCCCTCTTTCTTCTGTGACCTTGTTTCTGTTACTTTCCACCTCCACTTCCTGAATGAAATTCTCTTTGCTTGCTCTGTGAGGTAATAATGACTTGCATTGTACTTTCTTCTGGGGATACTATCTGATTGTATTAGTCACCTTGTGCTTTGACTTTAAGTTGTTTGTAGTAGAGCCCATCTTTTCATTTTTGGGTTTGCAAACAACTGAGCACAACGTGTTCTCTTCCTCGGCTGGAGCTGTGCACATAATAAATAATGACAGAAGGATGAATTCAGCACTTTAGCACTGCCATCCACTGTCTGTCTTATCATGACTTTCCATACTTGACTAAAATCTTGAAGTTTTGTTTTTGTTGCTACTGACTTAAATGTATTACTGTAAGCACAGTATTTGAGAGTAATAGAAATGCCCAAATTCTTTATGTTCTATTACTTTCAAATACAAGATGCATGTCTTTTGAAATATTCAGGTTGGTAGCTCAAGTATTGAAGAACTAGGGGATCTAGATTAAACTGTTAAGTACAATTAATCCACTTGAATTACTTGAATGTGTATATTTTGTAATATATTTTTCTCATGCTTAAGAAACATGCAATATTTAAGCATGCATACAGACACAAAAGGGAGTAACCTGAAAGTTGTATGATACTTCCCTTGACTACTCTTCCATCCTCCACCTCATTTAGCAATGTCCTGAGCCAGAGCTGTTTCTCTATTTTAATGATCTTCACTGGGTTTCCCTTTCATGACCACATCCAGTTTCTTGTTGAATCCATATATAAAGACCTCTGTGATTTTTATTTCCTTCCCTCTCTATTTCATCTTTTTAAACTTTCCCCTCTTTCATTCCTTGGTTTTCTTTCACTTCATTTCTCTGATACAACCAAGCTTATTACAATTAGGCTTACTAATATATGATTAATATTCCATACTTAAAACAACTTGCCTTTTACATTTTGTGATGTGGTCCCATACTTAAACAGTTGCAGGAATATTTACACTCTTTATACAACAGCTCATCTGTGACAGGAGACTGTGAAAATCTATCAAGATGTGAGGTTCAATAGATTTTATATCTAAATGTGTTTGAAGAAAGTTTTGAACGGGAGAATAGACAGGAAAAAAAGGAAAAAATGTGCTTGGTGTTTCAGTAATTCAATTGTTTATCCAATTTACTGCCATGTGCTGAAATATTACCCAAAATTCTAGGAAATGAAGTGGATCATGAGTTCAAGGATGGAGTACTAATTGAATTCTTCATTGAAATGACTCATCTAAGCAATGCAGTGACCTGGACTGCCCTCCTGAATGTAAAACTCTTTATAAATGTATCCTGGCACAGGTGCCACACTAAAAGCTTGACTCTTCTCCATCTAAAACAAAGGTTATCTGTTAGAGGAGCATTTGCTGGAAGGGGGGCATTATTTCCAAGAAAAAAGCATTTTTCCTTATAACAAAGCAAGATGACTTGGTCTTGTTCTTACCCATTTTGTCTAAACCACAATTGGTCACACTGGGCACAAATCTTACTGAGTAAGCTACAGGGCTTAACTGAGACATGTACCTTACATTAACCCTCTATAAAGGCAGGATTTTTTCTTACCTTAATACTATACAGAGAAAAAGAGCTATAATTGAATGAACTAACAACAGTTCTAAAAATGCTGAAAATAGGAGCATTCATTTATATTGACTGCAAGTTAAATAACAGATGTGTTTTGAAATCCTTTTCCTTTTTTATGCCTACTCCTATTTTTTTAAAGAGGATATTGATTAGGTTTTGCTTCACTAAAACCAGCATTTATATTAATGTTGGATTTTTAATGCTTTAGACTTATTCATTCACTAAGGGATTCACTCACTTACAAGCCTGGTCCTTTATTTCAGTAATATATACTTGAACCATAAACACCTACTTGGCATGAAATTTGAGCAGATAAGGCAAAGAAGTGTACAAAAAAAAAGAGTTATTAATTTCTCCTACTTAGAAGTGACTAGAAGATAGGGCATTTGAATGTTTTTACTGTCTTACGAATAAGCAGAGATTTGCAGCCGACTTCCACTACACATGCACTCTGGGGTTTACACACACTTGAAAAGTATGACTCACTAGCAGAAAATACACACATCACAGAAGAACAGCGAGAGAGAGCAGAATAACTTTCTGAAGGTCTTCTGTTAAAATTTTGCCTTTTAGTTAAAAGGGTATTTGAAATAATTTTTGTCCCTCTTGAAGTTTTTTTCTGCCAGGTAGTGAATCGCTAGTGCAAATAAATGGAATCTATTTCTTAAGAATATGAAGAAGGAAGATTGAGATTGTATTGTTTGTCTTGAAAATATCTTAATATCCAGAAAATAGGAGTTTTCCGTAGTGTTTTAGTACACCAGTATTGACTGTCAGCATTATTCTGTCAAAGATAATAGAGTGCATACACATGTCAAGTACACTCTCATGATATCCTTACCTCCAGAAAGCTGCAGAAAAAGTATAACCTTCACTAAAGAAATAAGCAAACAATTTTCCATTACTTCAGTATCATAAGTGATTACTGTCTCTGATTTAAAAAAAAAAATTCTTGTGCCTGGAAAAATCTTAAGACAGTGGACAAATTACAGACTAGACGTATTTTATAATGTACTTACATATCACTGGCAATGGAAGAGTTCCTGGACATGGACTTTGGAGACAAGTCATAGTCACTGTCTGACCGGTAAAGGAAAGACTCCCTACGTTGACTGTGGACAAAATTTGCCTGAAGAATTAGCCCTGATCCAGGGCTTGTCATGGGATCCAAGGGACTTCGTCCTGATGATGTACCATTGTCTACATCGAAACTGCAAAAAGAAGAGAAAAATATTTATGCCACTGACTTAAGAATGTTGAAATTAATAAACACTCTTCTGACAAAATTAGCATAGCTAATTGCTTCTTGATAGCAATGGGGAAATAAAGACCTGGTGATGTCCGCTGCTGAGCGAAAACACAAGGCACACAAGAGAAATACTTTAAAATTACTGATAAACAAAACAAACGAGTCTGAAGGAAAAGATATTTGGTAGAGGAAAAACCCCACTATTAGGATAGAGGAAGCTTTATGCTCCTCTGCATGGAGAGTATCCATGAGGTCTATACCGGAGGAAACATGATGTTTCATTGTTCTTTTCTTCAGGCCCTATCTCTCCTGAGCTGGACCCTCATTATCCTGTCTCCTATTGTTAAGGCAGTTGAGGGCTCTTTTGTTATCAAGTAATCAATCACAATATTTTATTGCTACAAAAATATTTCAAGAATGTATTTCTTCTTATCCCAATAAACAAAGTGCAGGGGTAGCTTTAAGGCATATGTGTGTGCTTGGACACATCTGACTGCATTAGATTTGCTATTTTGCAACCAGATTGAAGCAATGAGTTCTTTGTTCACCACCAAGCTGCACAACTTCTGTAGCCATTTGTGTCTTTGAATGACAGTTTAGATCCAGCACTTCTGCTTGTTGTATTTGGTATGAAGAATGGCTTATCTTTCCTAGGGAACACAATTGTCCCAAGAGGCTGAAGGGCGAGGGGAGGGAAAGAGAGTATACTGTTTCACATAGACTGTGATATTTCCACAAAGGGTTTTCAGAATCAGTGGAAAGACCTTGAACAGGAGTCTGCAAACAATTAGACACTTGCACAGGGTGGGTGATGCTGAGAGTATGTGCTTATGGCAACCTATGTTGCTTGGCAGCCCAACAGCTGCATTTGGTACTATATGGAGTCTTTTTGGAGCATGTGGATTCATTTTTAGACTTAATGTGTTGTGGTACATAATCTCAGAGGTTACAAATGTGTGGATTAACAAGACTAGGTCTTTAGGCTCATTTGCCATATTATTGGGAACTTAAATAGTACTGCTAAAGTATTTAAGAGAATGAGGGATGAACAAAGGATCTTTCACATGATTTTTTAAACATGGATAAGTGTTAGCACCATAATATGTATTTGTATTGAGCCCCTATAAAGTACTCAATTTGAAACTCATTTGAAGAACACCCACTGGTATTCAGTTACATCTAATGACAGTCGAAGAGAAAAGATGCAGAACAGGTCAGTTGTCGATTAGACTTCAGCCTAGCACTGGTGTCACAGAAGGTACATGCTGCTCTCTACACTAGCTTGTTTTATGTGCCATTGACTTGAGGTTTCAGTGAGGTTGCCACTTGAGTGCTTTACTGAAATGACAGCATTCCTGTGGCCTGCTTCAGCTTTGTTAAATGAACTGATCAAAGAAACATATATTGCCTATTTTGACAGAGATGCTCATTGCCTGGCAATGTTTCTCTTTTTTTAAAAAATACAGAAAGTAGTATTAAAAATGTCAAGAAATTTTAGTAATTTAATTATCTTTTCTCTGTAGTTTGCAGAACAATTCACTGCTGTACATCAGAACACATACACTTCTTCCAAAATTTAATTTGATTATGTAACTTTTTCTGTGTACTCAAATGTGCTATACTTTATCAATCTCAAACTAAAATTAAACCATGAGACATCAAATGAGAGTTCTGTCACTATCCTGCTAGATGATCTTGAACAGTGCAAAGCTCCTCTTTGCCATTCATTTTCCCTATTTGTTGCATCTTTGTGATCACTGCGAGATCTGCTCACAAAAAATATCTAAAAATGTATTGGAAAGGTCAAGATAGTATGACTCCTACTGTAAAATGTCATTTGCAGCTTGTACTGCCATAAGTTCATAACCCTATTACCCTTGTTACTAGCATGACTACTTTTACTCTCAATCAATATTTTTTGAGTTTGAATTCCTAAATATTCCAGGAGCACAAAATAATCATAATACTAATGAAGGATTTGGCTCATTATACCCAAATTTCCTAACATTTCTATCTCATTGCCTAATTTTTTTTTCCTTTAAGCAGTTGCAACAAAACATAGATTCCTAAACAATACAGTTTTCTATTTTTGTTGCTCTATTGAGGGCAGGAGGGCAAATCATTCCTGCAATTTGAGGTAAAACAGAAGACGACTGTTTACTCCTGTGCTCAATAAGACTAATTTCTGCAATGGCAACATAATTTCAAATATACATATATATATATAAGCTTGTCTGAGAACTTTAAAGCAAAAGTTAAAAGTTAGATAGAAATAAATGAATATAAATGTAGATGTCTCACAGCAGAAAAACTTTGAATAAAGAGTGACTACTAAATTGACTTTTCTAACAGTGGCCTTAAATATTCAACTGATTCAAAAGCATTTAAGTGGATTAGAGGAATATATGGTTCTCTTTTCAGATTTATTTTCTTCACCCACCTTTTGTGGATATGATACGAGTATTATATTACCAGTCATTTCTTCCAGTCAGAAACTAAGGCAAACTTCTACGAATTATTTCACTGTTAGATTATAAAATAGTGAATTTTTAGAATTTAGAAGTCTGTTAACTAGAACTGCAGTTTCACCAGCTGGAAGAGGCCCTGTAGTTTGCACCACCAGATAACCACAAAGACATTGCTGTTGCGACAGAAATTTTGTTCTGTTGCACTGCGTTGTGTCCACTAGATGGCTGTCAAAAGTAAGGAACAGGATCCAAATACATCAGCTGGATTTGCTTCGGGTTGTTCAAAGAAAATGTCTTTTATGAAAATATGTATCGAGAAAAAAGTTCAGTTCTATGGTCAAAGGGGAATGTGAATGTAACACTGGTTTTTCAGAAACATGTTTATATTAAAAAGTTTCTAAAATGCTAAAGCAGTTAAGTGTCTTGTTTGGGTCTTTCTGGGACGTTTACCAACACTTGCAGATACAAAAGCCTGTAGAACTCTAAATCAAAACAAGTGTTACTACACTGAAAATCAGATAAATTGTTTACTTGTCTGAATCACATGTCTTATTTGTAAGAAACTGTGCTGCTGATTACACTGCACCAAATAATAGAGAATCAGAATGGGGAATTGAAGACTTTCACACCATTTCTTTGCTCTTTCTTGCAGCATACACTGAAAAAATTGAAAGTTTAACATACAAAATAGGATAGATCCTTTAATTTGCCTGGGCAGTAATTGCAAAAAGTCAGCTGTGGTTGCTTCATACTTATCTTTCCACTCCTGTTAAGTTTTAAGCCACAGCAAGAATATGCTGTGAATTAGAAAGAACAGAGAAACTGAACAACGTCTTCACTGAAGTTGTTAGTAAGGAGCACAGGAATCGTTTTGCTTTCATCTCACAAGCAGAAAGTGGCCATTTGAAGACAGAATTTTCCATTGCTCTGCAGCCAGCTTCAGACACTTCGCACAATGCATGCAAACTGAAGCTGACTTTAGTGACAGGAGCATTTGGCACATCACATCACAGAATTTTATATGTTCAAAGAGCTTTGCTGCAACTCTGGAGATGCCAGAGGTATGAAAAGCCAATGGTAATTCAACAACTTTTGTGTCTGCACTTTGACAAAATATTTTACGGCTTTAAGTGGATACTGTTTATCTTTAGAGCCTGCCTTGTTCAGTGTTCGATGATGACAAAGATGACATGAGATTAAATTCAGACTTTTTTTTCCGTGTTTGCATGTCTTGCCCACCATCTGTCATCCGGCTCTGTACTGAGATGGGGACAAAGGTGGTTAGCTATCTTGAGTGACTTCATGGCTGACCTTTCCTGTGCCCCTAATAGGACGAGAAGTAATTACATCATAAGCAAACTTTAGGAAGATTATTAGTGATTTGTTTTAGACAATAGTAGGACTCTGTGGCAAGCACAGGAAATGTTCTCAATCCTGGATCTCAGCAGCACTGCTTCATTGCTAATGACAGCACAGCTTCTTTGCACATTAAAAGAAATCCTCTGTGCACTTCCTTTTGAGTGCTTAAAAAATGCTTTCCTACTCTGCAAGATTGCTAAAAGAAAAAATGGGGAGGCCTGTGTATAAAATAGGAATAATGACATCATAAAACACAAGACTTTGTAATTAAGACTGCAGAGAAAATTTTCATATTGGTCTTCCTTATTACTGAGACTTATCCTGAGACATTTTTTTTGGTTTTTTTTTCCTTTTGATTTGTGTAGGTTTTATTTTTAGAGAAGTAAGCAATAGCAGAAGAGAGAAGGAAATAAATTTCACCCTAAAATTAAGAATTTACTAGACTTTTTAAGAATACAAATTGCACTCCTGATATTCCCCCTTAAGGGTCTCCCCACCTTCATCTTATCTTGAAAGCTGAAGGGAGGGAGAGCCAAATTAATTGACCCTCTGAGGACATCTTATCTTTTAAGGCCATATTTAAATAGAGGAACAAGCAAGTTTTAGAGGAGCAAATTTTGTCTCCCATCAAAGGAGTCCATTGTCCTACTGTCAAGCAATCTCTCCAGCCACCTGTGCTGTGACCTACATATACATCTCAATGTCCTTAATTCCAAGAAGTCCATCCTGTTTTTCACCTGGTAACATAACCCCCACGTCACACTGAATGGCAGATTTTGGCACAACACCTGTAATTCACACAAATTATCACAGACCTGCCCTGAAGCAACTGCGTTTAGGCAGGATCTCATTTAGAGTTAAAACAAGGTAATAACTGTATATGGTTCTGAGGAAAAGGTAAGTTATTCATCGCTTGTGCCCCAGGACAGGAACCTACCACTAGGGGAAGCCACCTGTAGCAGCTGGAGAAAGGGAAGGATGATTGGATGATGCCTTCAAAAGCAGAATCTGAATTTATTACTTGGATTGCTTGGAATTAAAAAAAGCAGCTGGTGGCACACTGTGGATGTGGAGGATTGTAGAAAGGCCTCTGCGTGCCTGTCTCTAAGATCATTTGGTAGGTCTTTATGACTTC